TTTATTTTTATACTCTCGCAACCTGTTAGGCAGCATACGGTTGTTTGAAATACCTTAAATTAATCGAGATGGATACGGAGTTGCATATATGTATATATATTGTATATATGATCACGATGAACGAGATGAGTGCATGTCGTAGCTCCGCCCTCTAATTAGTTTAATGTACATATCTTATAAACCACTAAAGCTTTATCAACAAAATTTGCTCAGAAGAGTTTTTTTTTCGTAATTTCCTCCGACAGTATGAAGTTGAGTAAAATCGGATGATAGTGCGATAAATCACTAAAAAAATACGTCAGAAGTATCCGATTTCACATTTTTCATGAGAAAAATGAGTCCCATAAGAGCCGGTGAAAATTGTATAGTGCACGTGTCACCGCCCACCTTTAGGTGAAATTCTATACCTCAGTTACTACTTGACCAATTTCAACTAAATTTGGTGTTTTACTTTATTCCGTCGTTCAAATGTTGCAGTGGGCGAAATCCGACTAAAAACACGTCTAAATCCCACATAAAACATTTTATTAATATTATTTATTCCATCGGATTCTTTAATTTTAAATCGAGAGTCAATTACTAAAAAGCAAATAAATTATTAATTAAGATGATCATAAGATAACCATATTGAAATTGCTATTTATTTTCTCAATTTGTTTAAAATTAAATATTAGGCAACACCTCATAGAAAGATTTAAGCATAAACCTTCTTTCCTCTTTATTTTTATTGTTACTATTTTTAAACAGGTGGCAAACCTCCTCAATTTTTTTCTCCCTAAATTTCTTAAGTTTCTTCAATTTAAAGCATTTCTCTAATAATTAATTGAACAATTATTTAGTTAAAATTTTATAAAGTGGTGGCAACCTTGAAACTCAACTTTTTTTACACTATGTACATATGGCATTGAATAATCCAAAATTAATATTCAAATACAATAGTTTGGATTTATCCCTTACTACGGTGGCGCTTTGTTAACTGCGAGCGTGACGGAATTTTGTTGCGTCACACAATTTCGTTGCAATCGCTCAAATAATCTTTTTGAAAAATTAAACATTACTTAAACATCTAAAGTAAGAGTAAAGCGAGCATGTCTTCCACGCATGACTGTAATAAATATACAGATGTATGCGGACTCATTGAAAATTTGCTGGGTGGAATATGTTTAGTGTTGGCCACATCGTCTATGTTCATTAACATATGCATTTGACTTAGTAAACACGCATAAAAATTAATATTAAACAACAGCAGTTTGTTATATTGCATATGCCTATACTAGACAAAAGCTCCTTAAATATAGGTACCAACTGTCTGCAAGACCCTGACAACTTAAGGACTGTTTTATGCAAAATAAGTGAATGCGCACACGAGTAAATATACACATGTCTATATTATATATATATATATATATCTACATTATACCTAAAAACATTTCAGCGAATTTCGCCCACAATGGAAATCGCGAAATATGGGTCACTAGTTCAAATTCGAGTGTTTTTGCCGACTCCAACTGTCATTAGTGACGGCTCAGCTATATCAATTTTGTTGTAGTTGCTGTTATTATTCTGTTGTTAATGTTAGACTGAAAGTAAAAGTGTAAATATTTGTCGAATAATTTCGTTTTTGCCAACAACAACTGTACAAATAAATAAAAATAATGATTCGCTTTTATAAGGGGTTAGGGACGTATGTGTGGAAGCTTGAGCCAATTTTTTTTGAATTTCCACACTTTGGTAAGTGACGAATCGAACAGGCAACTGGTATAAACTAAATATAATCCAAACTAAACAGGTTTGCAAAAAAAGAACATTTGCAAAACGGAACATTTGAAGATATTGCGGATATGAGGATTTAAAAAAAAATCCATACAAATAAACCTTGCTATCATATATTTAGCGTTATTCATGAAACGGTTAGGTTAATGTTACAAGCCTGATTATTTTGTGAGTTTTCGACACGAGCCAAAAAAAAAAAAGACTTTGGTCTTTTTCGATTGCGACAATATTTCTCGGAAAAATTTAGACTTTAAACTATCCTTAAACCTTTTGTCTTTTTTGAGGAATACTTAAAGCTTCTTTTCGTCGGTGAAAATAGTTAAAAGTTAAAAAATATGTTTATATGACATAATATCGACAGTAACAACTATAATACAAAAAAATCCATTAACTACTTCAAGAATTTCACATAAAAATTCTGAAGAATTCTAAAATTCTAAAGAATTCTAAAATTCGCTGCAATGAAAAAAGTTCGTTTCCAATTTATTATTGCAAGAAGTCTTAATAAATATTTATTGAATAATTAAAGGCGTGTTTATTACCTTGAAATTTGATCGGCTAAAACTAAATAAAGAAATAAGTGGAAAGAAAGACCGCGTCTAAGCGTTCGCAGAAAATCCCAGTTGCTTAGACAAAAAAAAAAGCAAAAACAAAAGCAAAAACAAAGTGAGCTGAGTATACTGTCTACGCTGCGGTGACTGCAGTTTAGCTTGCAAAAATAACATTTCCAATGTACTGCTACTGAAGTTATTACGTACATGTGTACTATATACATAACATACTTATGTATGTATTTTAATCTGAATGAATATAAATCTAGGTATTTATATGTATACATGTATGTAAATATGTATGAACATGTATACTTGTATAAGATTGTGTTGCCGTTTAAGCCAACTCAAAAATTCCAAGAAGCTCTCAGCAGCACTTGCCATGGACTTGTTTACATTTTAACGAAAAAGGAAATAGTTATATACATTCAAATATACATACACATACATATGCATGAGGCAACCAACAACAAATATGCACGAGTATGTGGTAAAAAGTACTAAACGATTAGTGTAAATAATAAAAAATTGACACCTTTTTACCATTATGATGTTATAATAAACGTAAATTAAATATTAGAGTCGTAAAAACAGCAACAACAACAAGAGGAACGTGGAATTCGGGGACACCGAAGCTATATCCACAGTTACATTTTACTACATATTATGGTATAAAAAGATCTTTATCTTGAATTTAATCGATCAGTTTGTAGGTATAGCAGATTTATGCTATAGTGCTCCGATCTGAACCATTTCTTTGCAGATTGTATCATTGGCTTGAATAATAAAACAGGTTGAATTTCTTGAAGATACCTCGTCAAATAAAAGTTTTTTATACAAGATCTCGATTTTGATCGATCAGTTTGTATTACAGCTATATGCTATAGTGATCTGATCTAAACAATTTCTTCGAATATTGTAGCGTTGCTTTAGACAATATTAAATGCCAAATTTCGTGAAGATATTTTGTCAAATAAAAAAGTTTTCCATACAAGCACTTGATTTTGATCGATCAGTTTGTATTTAGATATAAAGCTTGTTCAGGGTATAATTGTAAATAACAACAACCGTAGACTCGAAGTAGATTTTTATTGCTAAAGATAGGTTAACTCGGAATAAAAATTCAATATATATGTGTAACTGTGTTTGTGTATGTGTACATGTCTATGCCATGCTACTGTTATGGTATTTTGCACAAGAAAGCGTACTTCAATTGAATTAAGGTTGACGAATGAAAGACATTCAACATGTAAATGGCATAAAATACGTCTAATAGACACACGAAGTTACATAGATGCACACATAAAAACACATACATACTTACATATATATGTACACAAAACTGTAAATACTTGTACATATAATATATATGCCATTGAAGCTGCCACATAGGCGCTTAGCCAGTTGACGCGTTGCCATCCATTACAAGAAAAAAAGTTGTTGTACACTTACTCTACTAAAAAGACTCTGGTTGTTGTTGCGGCTGCTCGCTCGCTCCCTCTCACTCATTGTCATTTGCTTATCTTAACAGCATTTTATTGTTAACATTACATTTGTATGATTGCTTTGCAGTAGCCATAATACTTAATTATGCGCTTTGCTTGAGCTTTAATGGCACAAGTTTTATGAGCATTTGAATGATTGATGCAAATTGCGACGCGACATGGACAATTTCAGCCTAAAGCGCAACTAATTGAATGTGACTATTAACTTAATGTACAACTACACAGTCATACTCTTAAACAAGGTGGATCAAAATGTGTGATTATTTGTGGAATCACAGAGTTATTAAAGAATACAGGAATAGTCACAGCTTTATCCGCAGCCATTTGTGTACTAATCAAGTGTTAACTTTAAGCCTGTGTTCAATTATATTATTCTTAAAAAGTGATGATATTTCTTTAATGAATCCTCTTGCATTGTGTTATCAACCTATAATTTTTACACTCATTAACTTATAATACGCTGTTGTTGTTGTATAAATAATAAAAAAAAATTTAACTTCACAGTTTAATTTTTTTTAGCATAAAAGGTTATAAAAAGGTTCTTACGTTGATTTTGATCGGTCAGTTTGTATTGCAGCTATATGCTATAGTGGTGCGATCTGAACAATTTGTTCAATGTAGCGTTGCATTGGGCAATAATCTATGTTGAATTTTGTACAGATATTCTGTCAAATAAAGAAACTTTTCATATAACAAATAGATTTTGACCGATTAGTTTGTATGGTAGCTAAAGATATGGTTGTCCGGCATCGGCGATTCCGACAAATAAGCAGTTTCTTCGGGAGAAAAGCACTTGCGCAGTATTTCATATTGAAACTGCTGCTTTCTTCGTTTTCAAAAAAGTACTGGACAAAAAAAAAATTGAATTAAAATTTCAAAATTTTTCTAAATAATATTAGTCTTTATTGCTTGAAATTGTTACAAAATATTTTTAATTTTTATTTTTATTTTAATTCATTAATTTTCGTTTAATACTCATAGTTTAGTAATTGCAAATATGCCACAAACAATATTCTCTCCCAATGCTCTAATGTACTTTTGACCTTCGTTGCCATAATTATATGTGCATAAAACTACCCATATTTACATTAATATACATACCAAGCAACAAACAACAACATATAACAACAGAAAATTTGATTCTAATCTCTTTTCTAATTTCCGGTTGAAGCATCGCACAGTAGCGGTCGGCGTTAATCGCTTTGATGACAACAAAAGATACCTCGCCAACAAAGAGAACGTTCTAAACGTCAAAGCGCGCAACTAAACACACACACGCATAAATATATACAAATATACCCACTGGTATTCACCAGTGTGTGTGTGTGTGCCAAAGGAGGAGAATGTCGAATTGTAATCGAACAATGCAATGTATGGTGGCAAGACGATTTGCGATTTATATGATGAGTTCTTGGGATTTTTTCCAACACAACAAAAATTAGTCGCAGCAATGACGGTAAGTGTGAAGAAAAAAACAATTTAATTGCGAATAAATTAGTTTTGAAGTAAGTTGGGAACGAAGCTAGCGGTGTGTTAGTTATTGTGGTGCTAGTTTAGTGAGAGGGGGGTAGAAGAGGATGGCTGCAGCGGAAATGATGAATGTGAAATGTTTAGATAAATGCTTAGTAAATAAGTAGTACGTAACTGCTTATATGAAATATTAAAAATTTTGCTAGCCGATTTCCGAAAAATAAAAAATTATATAAAATTTTAAAATGCTAAAAGTTGCAACAATACCTTTAACAAATAAAAAGTTTCCACACAAGAACTCGATTTGGATCCATCGGTTTGTATGGCAGCTATGTGTTATCGTTGTCCGATATATGCAATTTGTTTCGATATTGTAGCGTTGCCTTGGATAATAATTTATGCCAAATTTCGTGAAGATATCTCGTCAAATAAAAAAGTTTTCCATACAAGACCTTTATTTTGATTGATGAGTTTGTATGGCAGCTATATGCTATAGTGGTCCGATATCGGCGGTTCTAATAAATGAGCAGCTTCTTTGGGAGAAAAGAACGGGTGCAAAACTTCGGATCGATAACTTAAAAACTGAGGAACTTGTTCGCGTATATGCGGACATACATGGATAAATAAATAAATATATAAGGTTGGAAGGTATCTCCCTTCCGCTTTTTTGCTCTTCATTCAATGCTTTATAAAAATTGTTAGAGTGATCGGATTTAGTTAAAATATGCGCCGTTTTGTTCGATGATCTGTTTCCATCTTGACGGCAACTTCATAATACCTTCCTCGTAGAAGCCCCCCTCCTTATTTGCGAAGAATTCGGACAGCCACTTTTCACAAGCCTCTTTTGAGTTCAACTTCACACCACCAAGGGCATTCGCTATGGACAGGAACAGGTGGTAATCACTTGCCGCTACGTCCGGGCTATATGGTGGATGCGATAAAACCTCCCATCCGAGCTCCCGTAGCTTCTGACGAGTCATCAACGAAGTGTGTGGTCTGGCGTTGTCCTGGTGAAACACTACACCCTTCCTGTTGGCCAATTCTGGACGCTTCTGGTCGATCGCCTGCTTCAAGCAGTCCAGTTGTTCGCAGTAGATGGTAGAATTAAGCGTCTGGCCATATGGGAGCTGCACATAGTGGATGATTCCCTTCCAATCCCACCAAACACACAGCAAAACCTTCCTGGCCGTTAATCCCGGCTTGGCCACTGTTTGGGACGATTCACCGGCCTTCGACCACGACCGTTTCGCTTGATATTGTCGTATGTGATCCATTTTTCGTCGCCAGTCACCATCCGCTTCAAGAATGGGACGAGTTCGTTCCGTTTCAGCAGCATATCGCAGGCGTTGATTCGGTCCAGAAGGTTTTTTTGCGTCAAATTATGCGGCACCCAAACATCAAACTTTTTTTTGTATCCAGCCTTCTGCAGATGGTTCAAAATGGTTTGGTGACTAACTCCCATCTCCTGGGCGATGTCACGAGATGCCATATGCCGGTCTAACTCGATGTCGAAACCATTCCTCCGCGGTTCGAAGTGATAGAGTACCATCCCCCAAAACACCATTAATCTCACGGAACGTTTCTCTAGCGGATTTGCCTTTAACGAAGGAAAACTTTAAAATAGCGCGAATTTCGGCGTTAGTGAACTCCATGTTTACACGTCTATAACTGTTGAACGCAATATCCAAACTAATCATGCATAGCGTTGTTTTGTAGGTTATGTCAAGACCTTTCAAATTATGTATAGTGTTGCCAGATACGAGCTCTGTAGCGCTTTGTACATAGCCGCGAAATTCAAAAGACAAAAAAGCGGAAGGGAGATACCTTCCAACCTTATATATACTTCATAAGGTCTCGGACGTTTCCTTATGCTTAGCACAGAAACTGTTTTTCATGACGTGATAAGGAAATTCTCAGTAAAGCTTTGACATGCACCCGCATACAGTTAAAACTACAACTTGCACACCCTACCTCGGACTAATTATATCTTTCTCTCAATTAAACACCCACAAGCTCACTCACTCATTTAAGTAATTTCCAATCCGCATTTTTCTTTCCACATCATGCGCAAACTTTTCGATTTACTTTTATTTCATTTCTTTCTTTGCAACCGTTACCCTATTTCATTGTACAATCTCTTTAATACTAACCTCAACAATGTTCCCCTGCACCTCCAATCCCCAGGTACTGTTAGAACCGCGCGAATTACAAAATGTTTTTTTCCACTTTCTGCGCATATTGTCGAGGCTAATGCCCTCTTTGAATGCAATACCATCTGCATAATGTTCAAACTTACTTAGACACGCTGTGAGAGGACCAGGCGCAAAGTCACTTTTGCTGCAGCAAACAAGCTATAAATGCATAAGAGCACCGTGGCATTGGAAAATAGACTGAAACGAAAATGCAGACGAAGAGGAAGCTAACAGCATGGCACAGCACAGCATGGACACAAGCCAATCTGTTCAACATTGTCATGTCGTTGGTAGACAGATTCTTTTTATGTTATTCTGAGTGTGCCGTTCACGAGAATCTCCCAGTAGATACTGGAGTGATTACTGTCGTTAACTCGAGTGTGAACCACTTTGACATCGGAGTACTCGTATCCGAAAACTCGAAACCCGTCTTGGTTCTACTCCTGTCGTAAATGGCCAGTTGCTCATTTGGATGTAGTTTCTCGATATTGTGCATAACACCGGGTTAAAGTACTAGCTATTCCGTTAGAATGCTCACAGCTGTATTAATCGCAGGAAACTTCGAAAACACGCAAAACAAAGGTTCAATTTTTGACTTGGGTGCTAGAGAAGTCGAGGATAAGCCTTGGTTGAATTAGATTATGTCTTCTGACCTGTTTTTCGCTGTGTTTGTTAGTGTTTCGAGATGTATCTATCTCGTGTATCGGCACCTACAAAATATTAATCTATCTTTAATAAATTTAAAATCATTCCCCAATTCCGAAGCTTCCTCGGATAACTCACAGGCATATAAAAAATTTTAATATAAATACAACTAGTTCCTAACCTCCTTCCAAAATAACTAGTTGCGAATTAGTTTTTATACTGAATGTGGCTCTTGTTCTAGAGCGCCTTAACTGCAGCACTTTAGCTGCACTACCACTTCCACTTGCCTCAAAAGCCACTCACTCTCACTCGAGTGATCGCTGTTGCAATGCGCAGTTTTCTTTTTATTTATTTTTTCTTGCATTATACCATGCTTCACTTACTTACCTTGCTACGTGTTCGTCGTCTTTTTTATGCAGCCAAGGGTTCTTCTTTACTTTTTCCTTTCTTTTCTTGCTCCACTTCAGTTGGTGATTCTCATTTTGTCGGCCTCCGGGCACGAATATATGCCTCACAACGGTATCAGTTGTGGCCTATTTGTATAACAGCAACTTGTGAATTCTACATTTGGTTTGTCTTCGTTGTTGTTATCACCTTCGTCGTACCCGTCACTCATCTCCTTTGCAATCTTCGTGCATCATTGCAATTCATTGCAATTTTCAAGCTCGTTTCCGTGCTGCGACGGTTGAGAAGAGATGGTGGTTGATGAAGATTCTTGTTGCTACTGATGGCAGCGCTGCTCTTCTTCAGTCGTCGTCTGCATTCTTTTCGTACCGTCATTCGTTGTATACATTTGACTTTCGCTTTTGCTACAAATATTTACGTTTCCAGTTTCCAGTCGTAGTGCTGATTGTGCAACAACGTCTGTCTGCTGCCACATTGTGTAAGCACAGTAGACGTAAACGAGTACCCGGCTTCTTATATTCTGCAAGTCGTTCTTTCTCTCTCTCACTCTCTCTTGTTATCTTCTCTCTCCTCTTGTTTCATGCGTTCTTTGAAAACTGCGCCCCTTCCTTCATCCAACTGAGTGCACATTCCGACCTCCTGTTGTTTGCAGTTCATGTTTTTCCTCCTCCTCCTCCTCCTTCTCTGACTCCTCTGACTCCTCTGTCTGACTGTCGCTTCTTTGGTTGCTTCTGCAATTCTTTGACTGCTGCGTTGCTGTTAATGGGCTTCGAGTGGATTTTCTTGCATTGCTTTAGCAGACATCAGCATTCTTTTAGTTGTTGCTTTCTGGCCGCATTTTGATTGTTGGTCTCTGCCGTTCCACATTATTGTCATCGTTATCGGTGAGTTGCTGTTTGCTTCGCCAACTGCCTGAGTGAGTTACTTGTCCGCTCGAGTTTAATTGGTTCTTCCTTGTTTGTTGTTAAATTCTTGAATGGAATTTGGTTCACTTTAACTTATTCAACGTCTGAAGACAAAGAATCTTTTGCAAATATACTTGGTTTGGCGATTACTCGAAAATTTTCTACGATTTTTGGTATCTGCTTCATTTTTATGCTGGAAATGGCGACTTAGTGCTTTAAGTTGGCTCTGATCGAAAGGAGCTATCTAAGAAACTTGAAAGTTAACATATTGTCAGTACCTTAGTACCTACCTAGGGTAGCACTTTTCGATTCACTATCCATCAAATGAAAGTCCGACATCTATCTTACTATTCGGCTGAAGATTCAATGATTTAAAGTTAGAAACCAGGTCTCTTTATGACAAGCTTGGATGTGCGAACTTCTTATTCAACTACAGGTATACAAAATCTCTTTAATGATATATTCGTTTTGAACTGATTGTGCCGCACTTGTCCCTAGCTGCTTAAAAATCAAAACCAGGCTTAAAGTAATTTTTCATTTTTTTTTTATTAAAGAATATGAGGTTTTGTACCAACACCCCGTCTGCTGTTATACCACGTTCAACTCTTTCAAAGTCCACAAGCTGTGCTTCGAACTCAAGGCCAACGCCATAATAGTACCGCTCCAACTTCCCATATTATTGACTACGACGGCCATAGACCCTCGTAATGCCAACTAGAAATTTATTCAAAATTATTATTATTTCCTTTTACACCAGAAAAAATCGTGAGCCGCTGAGCAGCGCGTGATTCTTCGCCCCTCTTTTTAATTGTCGTCTTCTTCACTTTCACTACATTGCC